TTAAGATTTTATGGGTCATTAAAAGTACAGAAATTTTAATGATAATGCAGATCAAAATGTCACTTAATGTTCATGACAAATAAGTGGTTTGGAATTTGTGATTCCCAAAGGGAGTATTCTTTTTTTTTCCTTAAATGTTTTATTGTGAATTATGTGATAGTTTATGATCTGGACTTTCTTGAAGGAGTAGTATATACATGCTTTCTTTACTTCCTTATTGGATATTTGATATTTGTTTTATTTAAGGCAACTTAGTCTGGTCTTCATCCCCACCCTATGATAGGGGCTGCCATGGTTTGTGACTACTCTCCACCCTCAGTCCATGGACAGCACCTGATTCTGTTACAAACACCCTGTTGAAATGATCTTCCCACTTTGTGATAAGATCTCTCCTGGGACTCTTCCTAGTCTCTACCTATTGCTCTCGGGTGTTATTTTTTCCTGGTATGTTTTTGCTGTCTATTCCACAAGTCTTGGTGTTTTCTAAAGTTCCATCAGAAGCCTTCTCTAGTTTGTCTCTCTTTACTCCCTGGTCACATCAATAACCCCCAAACGAAACCCTCTACCATCCAACTGAATTTGGCTCATAGCAACCCTATAGAACAGAGTAGAACTCCCCCATAGGGTTTCCAAGGCTGTAAATCTTTACAGAAGCAAACTGCCGTATCTTTCTTCTGTGGAGTGGTGGGTGGGTTTGAACCACTGATGATTGGGTTAGCAGCCTCTGAGTGCTTTTAACCACTGAGCCACCAGGGCTTCTTCAGGTCAATGATTTGTTGTTTTAAGTGACATCCAATTAGTTCTGGTAGCGTAGTGGTTACGAATCGGGCTGCGAACCTTTAGGTCAGAGGTTCTAAATTACCAGCCGCTCCACGGGAGAAAGATGAGGCTTTCTACTCCCGTAAGGATTTACACCTTCAGAAACCCTGTATAGGGTCGCTATGGGTCGGAACCGACTCGAAGGCACTTAACAACAACAACAATTAGTTCTGACTCATAGCAACTCTGTGTAGGGTTTCCAAGACTCCTAAACTTCAAGTTGGTGGGTTTGAACCACCAACTTTGTGACTAGCATCACAATGCTTACCATACAGTACCACAGCAGGATGATTGTTGTTGTTAAGTGTCCTTGAGTTGATTTGGACTCATAGCGACTCTGTAAAGTGTTTTCAAGGAGAGGCTGGTAGGTTTGAACCACCAACCTTGTGACTTAAACTGACCTTACAGTCCAGCGCATTATCCTGCATCATGATAGTCATTTGTAAATCTCTGTTTTCAGTCTTGTCCCTTTCCTAAGTTAGAGGTCTGTATTGCAAACGACTTTTGCCTGTTGATTTTAGGTCTTACGTGGGCTGTTCAAATACTCTTCTCATCAGTCTTCCAATACAAAATTTCATCCACTTTCAATTCTCCCTCCACCATACAGTTAGATACAATCAGTCACACTAACACCTCATTTCGCTTCCCCCTGTTAAGACACTTGTGGCTCCCTAGAGTCACAGGACATAAGTTTAAACTCCTCAGCAAGGCACATGAAACTCCTGGGGAGCTGAGCATTAGCCTACTCCTCTAGTCTTGTGTGTGAATGTACCAGATGCTCTGCACACCTCCTGCCTTTGTTAGACCATGCTTATTTTACTAGTAGGAACCCCCATCCATTTCTTGCCCTGGTGAATAGCCTCTGCAACCTTTCAGACTATTCTCAAGTCTGAGAAGGTGTCTCTTAGCACCTTTCCTTCCTTCCTTAACCAATGGGCCCTTGGCCTGTCTTCCCAAGTGCCCTATGCTCTTGTCTGTCAGAATACTTGGGGTGCAGCGAGTAGGCGTTCTCCAGAAGACAGGCTCTCTATACCTCTGATGCACAACACCTTCCCTGGGCCCATTAAGTGCTTGGTAAATAGGTATTGAGTGAAGGGCTGAATTCAGGACATCTCCACCTAAAAGTCAGCCCATCCCAACTGTGCTCTTAATGTTGTTCCCAAACCAGTACCTCTCCTGAGTTCCTTCGCTGAGGGCACTTTCCTCCACCGATTCATCCAAACCAGAAGCCTGGTTTCTCTTGACTCCTGCTTCCTCGCACTTACTACATCTTGTTTTCACCTCATCAGCTCTGTGTTTTCTTACCCTCTTTGTGGCTCAGGTTCAGACCCCTTTTCATTTTTTATTTGAATTCCTCAAAGTCTCTTGAGTATTTCCCCACACATTCTCTCTCCCCCTTTGGTGTTTCCTTTCCTCAACAACGTTGACAGACACAGTGACTGTAACAATGGGCTCAAACAGCGACACTCGGGAGGCTGGCTCAGGCAGGCCCAGGCAGTGTTTCCTTCTGTTGTGTATAGGGTCGCTCTGAATCAGAACCGACTCAACAGCATCTGTCAGCAACAACCTAGTCACTTGGGTTTTCTTTAGCTCGTGTCTCATCTGTTATTCTCCTGCCCAGACTTCGCAGCACTTTCCCACCGCCTCCAGAGTAAAGTCAGAGTCCTCGGCCAACAGCATCTTCTGGTCTGCTCCAAACACAGCTGGTCAGTGTTTGTTCCCCAGCTCTCCTCACCACCCCATGTACACCCTGCCATGAGGAGCGAGTGTGGCCATGACCTCCAGCTTTATGGCAAACACCTGAATGATAGAGACTTCCAACCACTTGGCTTCAGGCAACATCTCTGGCCAGGGATTCAGTATGTTGTGTTACGTGCCATCCAGTCGGTTTGACTTCTAATGACCCTATATAGGGTTTCCAAGAAGTGACTGATGAGTTTGAACCACCAACCTGGTGGTTCACATCGATCTTATGGTTGAGTGCTTGTCATGCGACGCCACACCAGAACTCCAAATAAATGTTTCCATTGTGACTCTGACACCTCATGGCCTTCTTTTACCCCTGCTTACTCACCATTTCGATTCTCCATGCATGGCACTGTCTGCCAAAGGGCCTTTGGGTGGTTTCAGGTGACAGACGCAGTTAGTCAGCTCTCTGTGCCATGGTAAGATAAAACACTCTCCTGCCAAAAACCCTGCTTTCCTTTCAGGCTTGCTAACCACTTGTCTTTCTGCCTTGACAGAAAGTTTCTGTTGAAATCATGGGAGGTACTGTCAATAAGCCTTTTGTCAAATTATCTTTTAAAACAAGTCTTAAAAAGGATTCATCAAAGAGTGCAGCTAAAAACTAAGGCGTTATTCCTGGGTTTCATAAAGGATGGCACTCCGGGAAATCCCTTTAGAATTGAAATTTTAGACCCCCTCTTCCCAGACTGAAGTTAAAGTACTGGAATTATGGTCAGATCTAAAGGTCCCGGGAGGCTGCCACCTGAGTAGTAACCGTTCTGGACTTTGAATCAGAATAATGTAATGTGAGGAACTTGAGTTTTTTATTTAGACCTGAGTTGAGTGTTGGCTCTGTCAATCCCTAGTGAATAATGTCAGAAGAGTATTTCTCACTTCTGAACATCCATCTCCTCAGATGTAAAATGGGGATAATTTTCAGCTCACATACCTGAAAATGTACCTACCTCCTAGGTGCATGAAGTCCTAGTGTGGTGCTGTGGGCTAATGCGTCAGACTGCAAAGTCGTTTGAACTGCAAGTTCAGTCTTCCTTGGAAACCCTATACAGGGTCGCTATGGGTCGGAATCGACTCGACGACACTTAACAGCAACAGCACAATTCACAAAGACAGTATTCTACATCCTACTTCGGTGAATAGCAACTGGGATCCTAAAGGCTCATGGGCAGCCCTCTAAGGTGCGATTATTGGTCTCTCCCTGTCCAGAGGAAAGACGAGTGATAAAGATTGAAGGTGCTTGGAATCAATTAGTTCAGTGGACCAAGAAACCATGTGAACATCAGCCTCCAGGAACCTGAGTCCAGAAGAACTAGATGGTGCCCAGCTACCATTACTAACTGCTCTAAAAGGGATCACATTAAAAAATCTTGGATAGAGTGGGAGAAAAATGTGTAACTAAACTTCAAGTCATAAAAAAGACTTACTGGTTAGAAAGAGACTGGTGGAGCCCCAAGACGGTGGTCTTAGCTCATCCTTCAGGTCTGTAGATCAGTGTTCAGCCAAGCAATAGGGAGGCCAGCAGCACTAGTTAGATAGAATCACCTTAGAATACCTAAGATCAAACCATTCAAGGTCAGAAAGGCAGCATCGATTCTAGGACAGAATTCAGAGGGGTGGGAAAGAAGGAGAAATGGAAACAAGACCCACAGGGAGGAGGAAATGGACTAAGTGATGGTACCTTCAGGGGACAGACATCTTTCCTAGCCACCGTCTGGTCCTCCAGGCTTAGCCTCCTAATGCATCCAGTATCTTCCTTGGCAGTTCTCATCACACTTGCGGGTTTTGATGTTGGCTTCCTCAGTAAGCCGGTGAGGACAGAGTCCATCACTTTGTACCTCCGGCATTAGCATCATCTTTAGACATTCTACTCACTTGCTGCATTTGTTAACTAACCAGAAGGAGCAGAATTTGTAAAGGGTTAGAAAACAAAAACAAGTAAGCTTTAACCTTTTGATTTGTCCAGGCCTTATCTTCCACATATATTTTCAATGAAATGTTCTCTTGTGTCACACGCACAAACATATTTTCTGGGGTTTTTTTTGCAAATAGGAAGTTTTATTTTTTCCCTTATGATCTCTATGCCTCAAATTTCCTATGCATTCTTTTATTGCGCATGAATAGAATTTCTAGCACTGTGTTGAATCATAGTGGTCAGATTGGCCATTCTTTCCTCATTTTCAACACGGGGAAAGTTTATGGGCATTCATTCGTTTTTAAGTATGATGCTAGCTCTGTGGTTGTTGTTTTGTTTTTCCAAGTTTTTATTGTGAATTGAGTGATTTGTTTACATGGGGGAACACCCGTTTTATACTCATAGTTTCAATGCAATGATTACAATCTCCATACATAGTATTTTTTAAAGGGGCTCTTCTGAGGTGGCTCTTTTTTGGTGACCACATAATGCATTGGACAGATCATACTTACTTTTCTCTCTACAGAATGAGATGTGCTTGGCCACTCAACAGCTTTCTAAACAACTGCTGGCGTATGAAAAGCAGGTAAATCAATACAGGGTGTGTGGTGTTGTGCTCAGAACTTCTTGAAGTAGAGGTCCTTCAAAGGAATTACCCAATGGCATCTGTTAAGAGTTTCTTTTTTCTTTCCATGATCTTTTGTCTTCTCTTCCCTTTACACTGATAAATTCTAACTAGTGATCATCCCATGGCCTCTATGACATATTCTGATTGGCCTACAGAAGTAAGTAATCATCTGGTCCTTGAGGATCCATAGTCTTTGAGGAACTACAAATGAATCGACCCCAAGCAACTCCAGGAAACAGCTGCTTAAATAAAGATGCCACTGTGTCCCAGCAGAAGGGTGTGAATGCGAGCGGGTGGCTTTGCTGGGGTGGGACAAGCAGAACTCTGCTTTCACAGCCTGCCATGATGTGCTCTTGAGTGAAGGCAGGAAGTTGGCATGGCGGCCAGGGTCCTTTGGGCTGTGCTGTGGTGTTGAGGCCTCTGGCATTCTGATGATACTTGGCTCTTTTATTCTTTGTTTTTAGAATTTTGCTCTTGGCAAAGGAGACGAAGAAGTGATTTCTACACTCCACTATTTTTCCAAGGTAGTGGATGAGGTAAGGTAGCAGCAGTGTGACAAATTGTTATGGTTCTTTCTCGCATGGTTTTTTCATCTTTCGGTTGGCCCACTTTCCACTTACAGGTGGTTGTTGTTGCTAAGTGCCACCGAGTCGGTTCTGTATCTACTTGAATATCTGGGATCTCAGCCTGGTGATCTACCAAAGTTCTTTTCAAAGGGAGGCTGAATATGGTTAGGTTTGCTTCTAGCTTGAGGGGAAAGACTTTGATACACAGGAACAAGAAATAGACCAGAAGGAAGATATTGTAGCCTTTCATTTCCCAGGAAAGGTTTCATATGCCTGTTCTTCAGTCTGTACTCTGTACCACATACAGGGTTTCCAAGGAGCAGCTGGTGACTGAATCGCCAACCTTGTGGTTTGTAGTCTAGTGCTTATCCTGCAGTGCTACAATAGGAGTCCATATATTTATGTGTGTATATGTGTATGTATATACACACACAACATATGAGCTCCCAAACTATTGTTTTATGAATAACCTTCTACAAAATTAGGCAGATAGAAACAGTCCCATCTTTCAAAGAATTTACAGTACTTAAAAAGAGAAAATCATGATAAAAAAAATAAACAGGAATGTGCAGGTGTCATTTGAATGCGTGAGCATTGTGATGAAGGTAGACACGGTCTTTAGTTTGGAAAATCAGAAACTTTCATATAAATTTGTCCTGGTTGTATTTTCATTCATTCAGCAAATCAGCTAAACACTCCATTATTCATTCAGCAAATGTTTATTGACCAGTTCCCAGCAGATAGTGCCTTGGCACTGGGGACAGAACAGTGACCAGGTCAGCCAGTTCTCAGTGGGCTTCATCCTCTGCCCCACTACGATGGCTCACTTTCAAATGGGTGGTTGTCTATCCAGAAGAGGAGGGGAGTAGGAAATGTAACTAGAGTGGGGTCAAAGGTGAGTTTGTGTGTTTGTTTTCGGAGGGTGAGGGAAGACTGTTTCTTCCCTCACCCTCTGACGTTAGCAGTGAATAAACAACACGGGGGTGGGGATATGAGCCAATGCTGCCTCTCAAGTCTGTGGTTGTCTCCTCCACAAGAGCACTGCTCAGGAAATGGGGTGAGTTGTTGAAACCCCAGAACCAAGATTTCCAGTTTAAAATATTTACCCACCACCACACACACACTCACACACAAATGAACAACCCAATCTATGTTGCAAGAAGTACAGCAGGATGGTCATACTTCATCTCTCATACTTCAGAGCTATTGTCAGGAGGGACCAGTCTTTGGAGAAGGACATCATGTTTGGTAAAGAGGAGGAGGAGAGTCAGCGAAAAAGAGGAAGAACCCCAACGAATTGGATTAGGAGAGTGGCAGCAGCAATGGGCTCAAGCGTGGCAGTGAGTGTTTGGTTGGCGCAGGACTGGGCAGTGTTTCCTTCTGTTGTGCCTAGGGTCGCTATGAGTTGGTACTGACTTGGCGATACCTAACAACAACAACAACAACATAGTGACAGCTCGAATGTTTAGCCCACTGTCCGTCTATCAGTTTGTCATACTGGGTTAGTTTGTATGTTACTGTGCTGATGGAAGGCTTGCCACTGGCATGTCAACTATGTAGCCAGGTCACCTATGGTGGACAGGTCTCAGAGGAACTTCTGGGCTAAGTTTAAGAAGAAGGGCCTGGCAGCCTGCCTCTCTAAATTAGCCCATGGGCCACAGAATATTTCATGAGCCTTGGGCTTGCTGGCTTTGGACATGTCATCAAGAGGGACCGGTGGCTGAAAAAGGGACAGGAGATTTGGTACAGCGCAGGCCCCTGGAAGGCCAGGGACAGCCAGCCTCAGTGAGGTGGATTGACACATGGCCACAGGGATGGACTCAAACAGACCAGTGATCGTGAAGATGGTGCAGCAGCAGGCAAGCTTGAGTTCTGATCCATGGGGCCTCCGTGACTCTGACAGCCTGGTCCGTCCATGCCGTGGGCGAGTCTGTAAACAAGCTCCTTGAAGTGCACACCTGCTATGGCTATGGGAGGAGCGGGCTCCAGGGGAGTCCAGACCTGGACTGAGGAAGGGAGCCTTTGAGGCTTTCTCTCTCAACTCCTGGGCCTCAACCAGGTTGAAGAAGGTTCAAAACAAGTCATTTGACTCCGAAATTAAAGAATAACTCAGCCACTAACAAAGACTTGTGGCTTCTGTGATATAGTAGAACACATTGGATTCATCAGCTCTTTCATGTGGCAAGGCACGCACAGACTTCCAAGCCCAGTGGTTTCCTCCAGAGCGAGGCTTCCACTTGAGACAAGTCATTGTGGCAGTGTCCATTTATCAAATGCCAGCTGAGTGCCGGGCAGTGTTCTGAGTGTGCCCATTAGATTTTGCCATGTTGTACAAGCAACCATACAAGGGAGATGGTGTTACGCCCATTTTACAGATGCGGCAGCTGAAGCTTTGGGAGGTACTCTATGATCTTTCCAGACTCCTCAACGAAAGTACTGCGCTTAACAAAGGACTGCCCCACACAGCTCACAGGTCCCACACCTTCAGTGACACAAATCCCTTGATCCTTCAGAAGACAGCACCTGGGGACTGTGTTGCCTTTGAAGTATATGCCATGGGAAAGCCACTAACTTTCCCTGAGATTTCATTTCTTCATCTGTAAATGGCAGCCATAGGAGAGTCCCCTTAATTGGGCTGCTAAAAAGATGAAATGGAGTAATGTGTATCTCATCTGTGAATTGAGGATGATAATACGTAACTCACAGCGGGGTGAGCACTGAATGACCACGCCCGCACATAAAACGTGCTCAGGAACGACAGTGATACTAATCGTTACTCCTCCTACACCATCTGCATAGAGTCCTGGTGGCGCTGTGGGTGAAGGGCTGGGATGCTAACCGTAAGGTTGAGGTTCAAACTCACCAGCTACTCCACCACAGGAGAAAGACGAGGCTGTCTGCTTCTGAAAAGATTTACAGCCTTGGAAAGCCAGCGGAAAAGTCCTGTGCTGCTCTGTAGGGTCACTTTGACACCATTTATAAAGACAGGCTTGATTTAGGAAGGGAGAGAGAATCACCAGCTGATAAAATAATCCAGTGAGGATGGGATTGCATAAGTCACCTTGCTATGTGTGGAGAGCAGGGAGGCCTGAGGTCTACCTGGGGAGGGTTCTTCTTCTACAGCGGTGGTGTGAAAGTGAGCAGGGACAGTAAACTATACCTACAGCAGCCACCGGAGCGCATGCTGGTGTGGCCGCCCCACAGAGCCAGCGGTGTAGAGTAACTGCGGAGCTCCCTGGTGCCAGGCCACTAGAACCATACAGTTCATTTTTCTAATACCCCTAGACCTAGATCGCTTCCTACTTCATGAACAGTATTTAGTTGCTAAGGAAGTGCTAAGGAAGTGACAGAAATGTCATTGTGATCTGGGGTAAAGTAAGATGAGGTCAGTAATAATGGGTGTAATTTTCAATAGTAGATTTCTTTGTCTTTCAGCTCAACGTTCTCCATACTGAGCTGGCTAAACAGTTGGCCGACACAATGGTTCTACATATTATACAGTTTCGAGAAAAGGATCTCACAGGTAAAGTATTGAGCTGAGGGCCACTTACCTCTAAAATGCCCTTTGGTTCATTTAATAGTAATTGTTACTACATTCATCTCTTTAGTCCTGTGAATTATTGAGAAATGACTTTTGTTTGGGTAGTTTAAATCAGCAAACTTTTACTGGATCCCCACTGTGTTCCTGCCTCACGTCAAGGAGGCCACAAGCTAAAAAGAAGACAGACTCAGAACCAAATAACTGTGATACAATGTGCTGAGGGTAGCAGGACAAGATGTATGGGAACAGAAATTGTACCCCAAAAGACACCATTATCCTTTTAGGGGTTAGAGTGCCAGGGAAGGTTTCCTGGGGGTCTCAGAGCTGGGGTTGACGTAAATAAATGCTTACCAAGTCTACAGAGATGGGAAGGCTGATAGTATGGACTGCATGGTTTGGAATGTCACAGGAGGCTTGGGGAGGATATGCTTGCTTGCTTCTGTACTAAGTTCTGGGATGGAAACTGAGAACAAGGCAGACTGCACCCTGGGGGCCCTGCTCTGGCGGAGCTCATATTTAGTGAGGGAGGGTATCTGATAAGTTCAAAGACTCTCATTGGCATTTAGGATCGCCAACAAAAATAAAACCGTAAAATAACTGTACATTGCTTAGAAATTGAGGTTGCTAAGAAGTAAATATAAAAAAGAACTAAGATTCTATTGGAAGTTTATCTTAGAAAAGGAGAATCCAGATTTCGTAGTCCTTTTGTTTTTTCTTCTTCACTGAGAATATGTAATTAGAATTTTCTAGGACACTGACATAAAGAGTTACCAACCCCCCAAAAAAACCGCAGTCTAAGCCTGAGTCCCAGTGTGGTGCTGTGGGTTAATGCGCCAGACTGCAAAGCCGTGTGAACTACAAGGTCGGTGGTTCAAGCTCACCAGCTGCTCCTAGGAAACCCTACACAGCGTCGCTATGGGTCAGAACCAACTTGACAGCACTTCAAAACAACAAGTCGAGTTCTCCAGTACAGCACTTTCTCTTAAAGAATGTGTCACTGAATTTTTTTTTTTTTTTTTTTTGGCATAGGCAGAAAGATGCAATAAGTCTAAGCAAATCTCAAAGACACAGATACATTTTTCTCATTCTGAAATTTCCTGTAATCATGTTACCAGAAGCTCCAGGGAACACTAATAGAAGAAGCCCTGCCCCAGGCCAGCGTTAACTGCACTAAAACTTGATAACGAATAACTAACTAATAGATCAGTTCGGCTGTGTAAATAGAACCCTTGATTGAGACTCTGAAATGTTGCTGATTGACAATTACATAGAGAGGCAAAACCTTGCCCCCGCAGTCGGGATCGGTGGCTCACAGTTACAGAAAGTCTCAGTGGATGTATTTTTGCGTAATACTTTTCTCTAGATGCTGGGTGGTGGTTGTGTTAAGTGTTGTCATGTCAGTTCTGACACATAGTGACTCAGAGTATAGGGTTTCCAAGGAGCAGCTGGTGAGCTTGAACCACCAACCTTGAGGTTCAAACCAATGTTGTAGTCCAGCACATTAACCCACAGTGCCACACCAAGGCTCCTAAATACTCGGTGCAGCCCCCATATTGGGAAATAGTTGACTTGGTACAAAACCAGTGGATCAGATGGCTCCAAATATTTTCATTACTATGAAAACCCCATATTCCTTGTGAGCGACAACTTTCATAAGTCAGTCAGATGTTAAAATGGCGGGGACTGAAATTGCTAAAATCTGAGTGTAGTCAGCGCATTCTGAGGAGAGATGTGTTAAGGTCCTCGATCTTAGGGACAAAGCCTCAGAGTTCAAGTTTATATACTGTCAGTCTCCATGAGGCTACCAGGCCTCCTAGTCCTCACCCCGGAGCACCTGCTTGGTCCCAGATTCCGAGCGCTGTCAGAGAGGAAGGGTCCCTGGACAGGGTGGCTGAAACCCAAGGTCAGTAGGGGGTGGGGCGTGGGGCAGGCAGCTGAAGCCACAGCTCCAATGAGATGGGGATCTCTAGGAGAGCAGAGGGCCTGTGGGCAGGGCTTCCTGTGGGCAGGGCTCCCTGTGCGCATCCTTATACACATGAAGCTCAGAGCTGAAGGTTGGCATGTTTGAGTTTTCGTTGATCACTGAGGTGTTCCCTTTTCTCTTTTCAGAAGTAAGCACTTTAAAGGATCTCTTTGGACTCGCCAGCAATGGTAGGCCCTTCTTCTCTAGTCTGGACGCATTGGGTGGGTTAAATATGTGTGTGAGTTTCGTGTGGGGTGATTCCTTGTGACTCTGTATACATAAAACTGCTCCATAGAGTTTTCAAGGTTGTGACCTTTTGGGAGTAGATCACTAGTTGTCTTCCAAGGAGGGTTTGAACCGCCAGCCTTTTGGCTAGTTCAGCATTTAACCGTTTGTACCACTCACGGTCTCAACGACAGCCACCACTGTCAGGTGTGAGGTGGGAAGGAGGAGCTAATTTAAGTGTTCTTGCCTTTCAGCCTGTGGAGATACTAAAATGTCATTTGATTTTTAGAGCATGACCTCTCAATGGCAAAATATAGCAAGCTTCCTAAAAAAAAGGAGAATGAAAAGGTAAAAGCACGTGGCATATTGCTTTTTGTTTTACTTACTTATACTCCTTGTGTGTCTTCCTGCTGTGAATTCATGGTGTTAAGCGTTTAAGACCAGTTCCTACTCACCACAGTGGAGTGTCGAACTTGTCCTGGGTACCTCGGATGGAAACCTGACTTGGACTTTGGAAATTGACTCTGGTTCTTTCAACCATGCTATCTCGGGTTTTTGCTGTTGTGAATAACATTTAGTGTTTTCAGGTATATGCTTTTTTCTTCTGTTACGTGAAATTTTCAACTAATTATTTTCTTTTAATACAGTCTTGTGAATGAACCAAATTGTCGATGTCTTTTGATGCATACTGCTGTGTGGCTTCCTAAAGGACTGTAACACTCACTATGTGGTTCTGTAATCAGAAACCACTGGCTTCCCTTCATTGCAGCCTCCCAGACACTGAACTGTTAAAACTTTGATACTTCTTTTCTTTACTGTATTGTTAGGTGCCGTCAAGTCTGTGCTCAGCAGAACAAAACACTGCTGGGTCCCGTGTCATCCTCATTATTGTGATGTTTGAGCCCATTGCTGCTGCCACTGCGTCAGCCCATCTCATTGGGGGTCTCCCTCTTTCTAGCTGACCCCCAAGTTTACCAAGCATGATGTCCTTCTTCAAGCACTGGTCCTTCCTGATAGCAGGTCCAAATTACAAGAAAGTTTCACCATCCCGGCTTCAAGGCTCACTCGGGCTGTACTTCTTCTAAGACAGATGTGCTTGTTCAGCTGGTATTCCACGGTGCTGTCACTTTCCCACCCCAACACTGTGATTCAAATCGATTCATCCCCAGTCTTCCTTAGTCCCTGTCCAACCTTCACATGTGTATGGGGTGACTGAAAATACTATGGATTGGGTCAGATGCAATTTAGCACAGTTACCATCTTTGCTCCTCAACACTTTAAAGAGGTCTTTTGTAGTAGATTTGCCTATTGCAATAAGACATTTGACGTCTTGGCTGCTGGTTCCATGAGTGTTAATTGTGGATCTAAGCACAATGAAGTCTTTGACAAATTCAATCATATCTCTCTTCATCATGAAGTTATTTATTGGTGCGTTTGTGAGGATTTTTGTTTTCCTTACATTGAGTTGCAGTTCATACTGAAAACTGTAGTCTTTGATCTTCATCAGTAAGTACTTCAAGACGTCTTTGTTTCCAGCAAGCAAGGTTGTTATCATCTGCGTATCACAGGTTTTTTATGACTCTACTTCCAATCCTGATGCCAGCTCTTCATATAATCCAGCTTCTCAGATTATTTGCTCAGCAGACAGATTGAGTAAGTATGGTGAAAGGATTCAACCCTGATACACATCTTTCCGATTTAAACCATTAGTATCGCCTTGCTCTGTTTGAACAGCTGCCTCTTGGTCTATGTACAGGTTCATCAGGAGCACAATTAAGTGTTCTGGAATACCCACTCTTCACAATGTTATCCATAGTTTGTTATGATCCACCCAGTTGAATATCTTTGCATAGCCAATAAAATACAAGTAAACACCTTTTGGTATTCTCTGCATTCAGCCAAGTTCCGTCTGCCATCAGCAGCAATACCCCTGATGACGCCCTTTTCTGAACCCAACCTGAATTTTTCACAACTCTTGTCGAAGTATTAATGCAACTTGTTTTTTAACTATCTTTGGCAAAATTTTATTGCATGTGATATTAATGATACTGTTTGATGGTTTCTGAATTCCATTGGGTCACCCTTCTTTGTAATTGGCACAAATATGGATCTCTTCAATCGGTTGGTCAGGTAGCTGTCTTCCAGATTTCTTGGCATACACAAATGACGGCTTCCAACGCTGTACCAGTTTGTTGAAATATTTCAGTTTGTATTCCTTTAATTCCTGGAGCCCTGCCTTTGTCTAATGCCTTCAGTGCAGCTTGCTTGAATCACTTCCTTCAATACCATTGGTCCTTGAAATGGTTGAACATGGATCATTTCCTTTTGGAACAGTGACTCTGTATTCCTTCCATCTTCTTTTGATGCTTCCTGTATTTTGCACATAGAATCCTTTAATATTGCAACCAGAGGCTTGAATTGTTTCTTCAGTTCTTTCAACTTGAGAAATGATAAATGCCATCTTCCCTTTTGGTTTTCTAACTCCAGGTCTTTGCACATTTCATTATAATAACTTGACGTCGTCTTCTAGATCGGCCACTTGAATTTTTCAATTCATTTCTTTTACTTCCTCATTTCTTCCTGTTGCTTTAACTTGTCTACATTCAAGAGCAAGTTTCAGAGTCTCTTCAGACATCCATTTTGGCCTTTTCTTTCCTGTCTTTTAATTGACCTTTTCCTTTCTTCGTGTATGATGCTCTGGGGTTTTGGTCATTTGTGTCTAATGCATCAAATCTGGTCTTGACATGGCCTCTAAACTCCGGTAGGGTCTACTCACCATCATCTTTTGGCTGTAGTCCTTTTAACTTTTTTCTCTAGTGCTTTTAGTTTGGTTGTTTTCCTGGGGTGTTTTGAGGTGGATCCTCACCTGTATTATTTTGGGCCATGAAAGTGGTTACCATAAACAAACAAGCATGTTTTGAAGCTACATGCTCTCCAGCATTGTTGGCTGCATTAGATGACGTGACGACGTCCTCTCTCTCGCCTCTCCTCCAGGTGAAGACGGAGGTGGTGAGTGAAGTTGCAGCTGCGCGGCGGAAGCAGCATCTCTCATCGCTGCAGTACTACTGTGCCCTGAACGCGCTGCAGTACCGCAAGCGCATCGCCATGATGGAACCCCTGATGGGCTTTGCCCGTGGACAGGTAGGGCTGAGACCTCAGCAGGATGTGGTGAACAGCCTGACATGGGAGGAGCCCACATGCACACCCTCCCTGGGAGCCACCTGAGGCTCGGCCCTGGGAGAGCTGTCTGCTGAACGGCATCATGCTCAGCTGAGCCCGTCAGGCTGCATGTTCTGGTGGTGCTGGCCTGCATCCCAAGCCTTCCTGGGGTGGAGATTGCTTTGTGGCTAACCCCGGTGAAAGCAGGCCTGGCCCAGTCTTCTTGGCAGCAGCATCCTGTTCAGGTCGGTGCGGCGAGGTTCAGACCTTGGAGTCTGCTCACACCTTTGCCCCTCCGCGTTGCAAGCACCAACCTTAGAGGCTGCTTGTCAAATGTTCCGTCGGCAGGGTGAATGCCAGCACCCTAGTACCTAGAGTAGAGGGCAGTGTGGCCGCTGGTCTTCATATTTTATTAGTTCTCAGAGTATTTATTTGGCTTCTTTTCCCTCTGTGAGATGGTCTACTAGTGATTGATCTTAAGGGAGGCCTCAGTCTAAGAATGAGGACTTAACCCACACTGGGGGACAAGACTGTGTATGAATGTCAGGCTGGTGGTACTCACTTGGCACCTTCTCCCATCCTGCAGGGGTTCCTACAAAACCCTGATGATGGCGCCAACCTACTCTCCTTCCCTGCTTCTTCTCAGTCATCCAGTGCGGCGGCCCCATGGAGCTCACAGTTACAGGGTAGCAGGGCGTTAGCAGGCTACAGAACAAGGTCAATTCCAGTCTGCTGCTGATAAATGTCCAAATGACAGAGCCTTCCACCCTAAGCCTCAGCCGGAAGGCACTTGCTCCTAGCTCCATGGGTCAGGAAAGCTAGCTCCGCCCCTGAACTGCCTGGTGCACTCTACTCTGAAGTAAGCTTCCTGCCCAGAGTCACTCAGCTTGACTGGCTCCATGGCTGAGAAGCCCACTGCTCCATCTGCTGCTCGTCTGCCCCTCCCCCGGTGACACAGCTTGCTGTCCTGGTTGAGGAGGCTTAATTTGCAGAGATCTCAGGGTACAAAGGACTCATTCCACTCCTGGCTCTTTCTTGATTGTAGTGAGATCCCTCCTGGTTCTGAGATGGTTCATTGTAAACTCATGCTGGAGTCCCAGGTTTTTACAGTGAACTCTGCTAACATCCACAGCTGAATCCTCTCAGTAAGTCTTCTCCCACCTTTTCTTACCCAGAGCAGCAGGCAGAAATGTTGTTTGTGGGAGTTACAAGACTATGGCTAGAAGAGACAGCAGATGATTCACTACACCCCAGCTTCACTTATATCAACTCCAAAAGCTTACTCCGGCGGATGAAAAGTGCACCTGTCATCTTCTTTCCGTTGATAGTTTAGGAACACAAAGCGATGTGAGAAAGCAAAATATTGAGAAGAAAAAATCACCAGCTTTTAAAAAAGCCTGGACACGAAAGGAGCATCGATTACTTTTCTAATACTTTTTTTTTTTTTTAAGTTTTTATTGTGAATTGAGTAAGTTTACAGGGCAGATCATCAGTTTTACATTCAACAAATCATATACTTTGTTTCATTACAATGATTATAATCCCCTCCATGTACCATCAGTTAACAGTATTTCTCTATTCATTTTAGTTCCTTTTTTTTTTTTTTTTCTCAAACACTCAGGCATATATAATAATTTAAACCACCAAAGGGCACATTCTGCAAGCCTGCCTCCTGGCTGCCAGCTCTCAGTCCCTCTCTTTCCATGAATCTAGAGTCCTCAGCTGCTACCTCTCTCCATGTCCCCATCTCTTCCTCCATCTCTGGTGTCGCTGCTTCTCTGGAAAGGGTCCCACGTTCCGCTTGTGCTCTTCTTCCTTGATGGTCCTAGGGTCCTCTGTTTCTGGACTGTAAGATTAACTACTCCCCCGTTTTTGTTACAAAGCTTTCTACCTTTACAATTGTGACAGTCGCAATTAGTCATGATAACAGTTACTCACTATTGAATCATAAGAATCTTATCCCCATCTCTTTTCACCAGCCCCATCTAGACAAGATGAAAACTATTCAGTAGGGACTCTATCTTTCCCCGCACACTCTTAAACTAAACTCTCCCTTGAAACCTTGTAAGCCAGTCACTTCATGCCTTTCTGGCCCCCTCATTTTAGGTATCCAATACCTAAGCCGCCCATCCCTATCTACCTTATATACAAAGGGGCTAGCATTGATACTTGATGTGAAGACTCCTTCCCTCTCTGTTGGTAATTTAGAGTTACTACCTCCATGAGTATAGGTCAAGTTCATCAAATTGTAGCAATTTACCCTTGTTTCCTTTATGAAAAATTATGTTATTTTTTATCTTACTCTAGTCAAGTTCTGATTATCAGACCATCAAGGCTAGGTCAAATGGGTACTATCTGCAAGTTTGGGTGTTCTTGTGCATCTCCCCTCACTTCATATCAGCTGGATGCTTTACTCTCAGTTCTAGCCTTCTGTGGCTATGTCTTTGTCCATGTGCTCAGGTGTCCCCAGGTTTCACCACACTTTGGATCAACTAGCCCTTCCTCTTCTCTCGCTCATCTCCAGGTCAACGGGAGTTAATGGATTGTGGTTGAACTCAGCCCATTTCTTCATTGCTGCCTTTCCTCCTCTTCCACTCACCAGTGGAGCAGAGTGGTTGCCAGCAAGCGTACATGGCTGCTCATGTGTTTACTTCGAGTTTCAGTCTTACAGGGGGGTTTCTAATACATTTTTAAAACACATATGTTTTAAAAAGTATGTCAGTTTCATTGAGGGAAAAGAGGAACAAGACAGGGTCTTTTAAAATCCAAGTTGAATTTTCTGTTTCTTAATGTGTTTATTGCAGTGAGAACAGTAAGTCAAGTATTGCCTTCAGACAGGAAATCTTGGTAGAATACCAGCCTTTTTCTGTGTGGTCCGGGTAAAGCTAGGCCGCAGCAAGGAAAACCACAAGCTAGCTCTGTCCAGCTGTGAACATCAGTCCTCAGTGGGTCTCTGGGAGCCGTCCAGCTTCCTCCCACTAGGCGTTGGCGTCCAGTCCAGTCGAGTGCTCTTGCACTGTCTCTGTCCCTCAGCCGTGCCTATGGAGCTTCAATCAAGGTGGCAGCAGCCCCTTTGTCCTCTCAGTACCCTCTCATGACCACCAGTCCTTGTCTTGGGAGCATGTAGGGGCCCCCGACCAGATGGTGGGCTCTAGAGCCTCATGGCTGACACAGATGGGCTTGGGACAGCGGCTGGATCGAGAAGGTCCTCGTGAAGCCAGACGGATGGCAGTAGCGCTTGATTCCAGCTGCTTTCACTGTGTTCCCTAGCCGATGAAAACAGCCCTTCTCCTAGGCTGGACTTGCCAAGCGACTGCTGCTGGCCCGGGGGAGCAGGGAGACCAGCTGCAGAAACATATGGACACAGCCCCTGTGAGCACACTGTCACTCCTGGGGGTCAGGAGCATCATTTTCCAGGACTGGGAATGACACGTTCTGTTTTCCGCATGACAGTCATCTGGTTTTCAAGACGTAAGACCTTATGCTACAGATGTCTTAATCCTAATGAAAACCATAGTTCTTTCTTTTTGGCACTGGTTGGTTAAGTCTTTGGAGGCTTCAGTCTGGTCAGCCCTTTTAAACCAATGTTTATTGAGCATCCAGCATTACTAACTGCTGCCTGTGTGACCATCACGCATCCTGCTCCTCCTGGGGCACGCTGGACCTTTGGATGGCGTGCCAGTGACTCAGGCTCCTCAGCACCACCCACCTTTGTGGAGGTGTGTTGACTCCACACCTGCCTTTTCTTGCTCAACAGGTTTCCAGTCCTCAGGCCTTCAAACAAGCTGAGGTTTTATAATCTGTGTTCAGGCAACCCCCAGCTTACGTACAACCAGTAGTTACGAACATCCCCCATAAAGCTGACACTGTATTAAAAATTCAAGCTATGTGCAGTGATTTGTAGTAAGAAATGGGTGCAACTTTGTGATGCTTATCAAAGCATTATTATTACTACTACTACTACTACTATATTGTTTAAGGAGCTCTGGTAGTGTAGTGGGTTATGAGTTGGGCTACAGTTTGAATCGACCAGCTGCTCCACAGGACAAAGATGGGGCTTTCTGCTCCCATAAAGATTTAAGCCCCGGAAACTGTATACAGTCAGAACCGACCCTGTGGCACACCACCACCACTGTATTATTACATTTAAGATGTCTCAGTGTATCTAAGTATTTCTTTCATGTTTTTTATGCATAGTGTGTCACACTGTATACTAAGACAAGCAGCTGACTAACTGATGATGTTAGATACAAACCGTACCTACCTATTCTGACTTGTACAAGTTCAACTTAAAGACAGATTTAGGGATGGAACCTGCCCATAATCCAGGGCCTCCTTATACTGGTTTACGGGCACACAGAGTTGACGAATCCTGTTGTCTATACAGGGTAAACACTGTGGAATATGGCTATAGAACCAGGGTTGTTTCCATGGTTCTATAGCCATATTTGCATGGAACGTTCCTTCCACGTTTCCATGCATTCATCAGATGTTCGCTCAGGGATGACTTGAACCCCTGTCCTATGAGTTTACAGACTAACAGACCTGAGCTGTGTAATATCAGTTCCAGAGGAAGTTAGAGAGGAGAGGAGGAGAAATGCAGATTTCCCATTTAACATCAGACTTGGATATTTATGTAGGATTTATATATGCTTCTGAGATCAAGGAATGAGAACTTGTATTATTTGCATTATGCAATCAGTTCCCACTGAGTCTGTGCCAACTCATAGAGACCCCAATGCCTGTCATAATAGAACTGTGCTCTTCAACAAGTGGTGGTGGTGGTTATGTGCCATGGAGTCAGTTCTGACTCATAGTGACCCTTTACACAGTTTCCAAGGCTGCAGATCTTTACGGGAGCAGAAAGCCTCAACTTTCTCCCACAGAGCAGCTGGTAGTTTCGAACTGCTGACCTTGAGGTTAGCAGCCCAATTCGTAATCACTACGCTACCAGAGCTCCTTCCTCAAAAAGTAGATCCCTAGATTTTTTTTTGGAAGTAGATCACCAGATTGTTCTTCTTAGGCACCTCTGGGTGGACTAAAACCTCCGGCCTGCCTTTTGGTTAGTGGCCAGCACGTTAGGCATTTGTACCACTCAGACTTCTTGCATTAGGAGAATCGTAATCAACGTGTGTTTTTACTCCTGTGAAAATGAAGGGCATGGGTGCATTTTCTTGCCCAGGATGTCTGAAGAACAGGTGCAAAGATGTTACAACGGTACTGGTATCACCTTCTAGCCTCTGCAGAGTAAAAGGTGGCTTTCTGTGCCTGCAACCTGGGGCCAGACCTCCAGGAACCTCCCACATCCAGGCTCTGTGTGTGCTTTCGTTTCGTGGCCTCTTAGCACTCGGGTTGTAAAATGGAGCAGTTCATACGTAGTATTCTGATTTTTGTGAAACCATGCTGTAGAAGGCACAGAAACCTGAGCTGTTGAGTGTGGAATGATTGAAAGTGTCAGAAATGCCTTCTTCGCTTTCCCATACCCTGCCCTTATTGGTGTGTCAGAGGACCCAGACTTTCTGGGAACTGAATAGATGGAAGTCTTTGGAAGGAAAGAATTGTATTGTTGGCATGAGAACCAGTAGCTGCAGCTTCGTTTTCCACCTGCCTAGTCCTCGGGTCTCCCCTGGATCGAGACCCCACGTGGTGCTTGGGCTCTGCTGCATACGTGGTGTGCAGCCTCCTTGGGCTTTCCACGCCTATGGTCTTAGGGCCGCAGAGCATCTCTCTCCCACCGAGCAGCAACTGGGTCACCTTTTGGTTAGCAGCTGAGCGCTTTAACCGTGGTACCACCTTCTGGCATACGTTTGTTGTGTTGTATACCGTCAAGTTGGCTCTGACGGTAGCTGCCCTGGATAGGGTTTCTGAGAGTTGATTGGTGGGTTTGAACTGCCAACCTGTGGTTAGCTGTCCAGTGCTTATCCTACAGCACCACACCAGCACCCTTTGTATACATAATCCCTTTGTATAATTTAGTATCAAGATGGGAAGACCTTAAAGGGTCTTTAGCCTTGTGTTCCTGGTGCCGTACTTCAGGCAAGTGACCCCTCCCCCCCCACCCAGTCTGTGCTTAGAGCCCTAGGTGGCTTGTAAGGGGTCAGGCAGATGGCAAGTCTTCAGGAGAGGGCTGGTTTCTGTGAGAGCCACAAGCCACGCTGCCTCTAAGGCTTGTCCGTTTCTTGGTGGTGGTGTGCGTAAGTCTGTCTTTCACCACACACTTATATGGCACTTGGAGATACAAAGGTAAGTAAGAGCTAATCTATGATTTCAAGAAAACGTACTGTCTAAATTCACCCCTGCAAAAAGCTGATCATAACGATGAAGACCTTACCAATAGTATTTACTGAAGTACCAAGTATATACAAGAACTAACATTGGCATCATTCCTGATTCTTAGTCTTCCCAGGATAGCTGGGTATCCCTAGCACCAGCGTCCACAGCCTCTTTCAGTTGCAGTCGGATGCTGGGAGCCAGGGGGTGATGGGACACAGCAGGCTGTGGGTTAGGATGCACCAGTCAGCCAGTGTCAGTCTCCCAAGAATGAATCCATCACCTAAGATGATGTTCAGAGTATCCTATTTGTGTCTTTCAGATTAACTTCTTTAAGAAGGGAGCAGAGATGTTTTCCAAAAACATGGACTCCTTATTAGCCTCCGCTGCTGACATGGTTCAGAGGTAACGCTGCTCTCTGGCTTGGGGCTTGTGTGCCTTCAGCCTCCTGCTGAATCAGCCTGGGGGTGGGAGCAGGAGGATCGAGAGCCCCCGTCTACTCCACTGACATTTGGGGGTGTCAGTGGTCCACTGTTGAGGAGCAGCGATGTCTGCCGTTCCTGGCCTGTGTGGAGCCCAGTGTTAGCCATACAGTGCACTTCCTCAGTCCTCTTTCCTGTCCTGAGGGCCCCCTTGGTTACCAATGAAGCTTCACATGTTGCAGCCATATGAGTCCAGTTCTGACTTGCACTGGATGTAAAAGGGGTCTTTGCTTTTTTTCTCTGAGTGCTCATGGGGCCCACAGCCAGAAGTGCTCCAACTTTCCAGGAAATTAACCATCACATTAATTTATAACCAATTTGCAAACGCTTTCTTTAAAAAGTTCCAACCCACTCTCAGCCAGCCCTGCCCCACTGCACTGAACCAATGTTCAGTGGCTGCTGTTGCCCACGTCTAGGACACGAAGCAGGCGTTCCGGGCAGGCAGGCCAGCATCGAGCCTGTTTCATTCCAGGTGAACTCAGCCCTGTGAGTTCTGTGATTTCTGGAGTACACACATACGCGTTTCAGCAGGTGTACTTGATAAATAAATATAGAAAGTAGACATATCCATTTAGAACTGTATTTCATGTGAAAAAATGAAGAGAAAGTTGCTGATTATCTTGGACAGGATTTGTTTAAAAATACATCTTAAAGCTAGGTAATGGGATTTATATAGGCGAATGTCTGCTGGAAATTTTTTGAATGAACTAATCCTAATAAAAAGGCAGGATTGACCATTCATTACCAACACTTGGGGCGAGAGGTAGTTTATGAGAGGTCATTTATAAAAGTGCAAACCCCTTTTTTTTGTTTTTTATTTAAAAAGCTGCCAACAGTTATAAAGCTGGCATCACCAGTGACGTAGCTTAGACTTAGAAATATACAAACAATTTGTGAAATGCAATCTCAGTTCCCTGCCTTTTCATTGGGTTCAGCCCCTAAGCCATTTTATTTTAGGGAGAAAGTAAAACAAGAAAGCCTGTGAAATTGCCCCTTCCTAATGGCACCCCCTCTTCCTGTCTTTTCTGTGTGTCTCTTCCTCATCCTGCTTTTACTCAGAACCCCTGGCTTTCCCAGTGTCAGGGGACGCCATCTCTGCCTCTTATTTTTTCACTTGCTAGCTGTGCTTTCTGAGTGGCCAGCACGACACCTGTGAGGCAGGCTTTCTTCCTTGTCAGCGTTTGCATGAGCCATCAAGAGGTTGACCCAAGTGCTGACTGACCAGCCAGCCTGCCAAGACGGTGACCAGGCCTTAAAGTCAGAGTGGCCACACAGCCTGCTCCGCATGGACGGCAAGGGGCATTTAGTTACAGGGGCAGCAGACAGCAGGCAGTGTGCCCAAATTGAACCTTTGATTCACTGTAGGAATTTTAACTTTGCCATGTGCATTGTGCATGGGCAAACAGATCACTCCTGCCACACAGCGTGCTCTGTCTGCCAGCTGGTGCAGGGCTCTGAGGTCCTCTCCCCGTGAGAGAGGTGTTCCAGGTACTCTGGCACACTCAGAACCAGGGAGGTTCCCACCACTCCTCGGGGCCCGTGTCTCTGTCCACTCCCTAACTCCACAGGGGTACATCCCCACCTGCTTTCCTGTGTCCTCTCTTATTTTACAGAAAGTGCACATGATGGCATCTCAGAAACATGGGCACAGGTGCCCCGCCATCCATTAATAAAGGACATTGGAGGCAGTCATTTCCTACCTTGTCCCTTCTGTTCCTGGGAGTGGCAGATGAGCTGCTCAGAGTTTTTGAACCTGGAATTTCTATGGAGGGGGGCACTGGGAGGGGCAGTTACTGTACTCTTCCTGACATTACAAATTATATTCAAAATGCCGCTTGGTCCTTTCTCAGGGAAACAGCCCTGACCTTTCGTCAGTCCCAAGGGCATCTGTCACTCACAAAAGGTTAAGAACCATAGTGGCTCCCTCTTTCTACTTCTGCTGAACTTTTTTCTCTTTCTCATTCCATTCCCCTGACCTTGGCAATGACGAGCAGGTTCAGTTCATGAGGTCTCTACTTGCCTCTTGTGACTTGTCCCCACCACCCTCCCCAGTGTCAGTTCACAAAGTTAACAGTGATTACATGCATCACAGATGAAACCAGACTTGTGAATTTCCACAAGGAGAATTTGTGCACCTAAAAAGCCAGACTTACTGCGGAACCCTTTCGAGTTTTTGAGGGAAATACTGGTCTAGTTGGCCCCAAGCTTTCTTCCGATTTGGGTGTTTGTGACTGTGCCTGATCGCCTTTGCCCCTTTCCTGCAGTTTGTTTGCTCAGAAGGATGGGCCACTTGGGACAGACTATGTCTAGGACTTTGCTACCCAGACTGCCCCCTCTGGCTGGGGTAGTCTGAAGACCGAAGCTTCTAGGGGTTAACGTCCCACAGTCTGGATGCCGACTGCTCTCCCTGCCTGCAGTGCTCCGGCCACCCTGGGCCAGCAGGAGCCTGCAGTCCCAGAAAGCTTTATGGCCCTCGGCATTGTGGCTGCACGGTGGTACTACTCCTGAGCCTTCCTGACCTTGGAGGTGGGCAGCACGAACTGCTGATCCCCTCTTTCCTTGGTACCCAACAGGCAGCCTCTGAGGGCAGCCTTGACAGGGCCTGCAGCCTGCGGTTTCCCCAGAGGTTCGGAGCCTGGGTACCACTTGGTCCGCAGAGAGCTTTGTGGCTGGGTTTTAGCATCACCCAGTGGTGTTCCCAAGTCTCAGTTAAAGCAGCACCCTGTGTAAATGCTATCAGTAATGCCGCACCTTGAGACCCACCAGCACTTGAGGCCTCTTCAGAGGGCAGAGGGTGGGGGTTGGCCATGGAGAAGGCCACTGCTTCATCCATCACCCACTCCCCAGGGTGCTCTCCCTTGTAGGGTGGGGAGTGGGTGATGGCTCAGCCATCTGCTTCTCAGATGAGGTCGATGAGGACTGACCTAGCACCTTCTGTCCTAAGCATTCAAGTGGAGCTGGAAGCTGAAGCGGAAAAGATGCGGGTGTCCCAGCAAGAATTGCTTTCTGTTGACAAATCTGCATACACCCCAGACTCCGATATAGCTGCACCTCAGATCAACAGGAACCTCATCCAGAAGGCTGGATACCTTAATCTTAGAAAGTGAGAACGGCATTGCCTGCTCTTCCTCTTTTCCTCAATAGCCCCTTTGTGCCCCTTGGAAGTCTGAGAGGTCATTGGGAGGGAAGGGCTCCCGGCACAGCACCTACCTGCCCAAGCACCGGGATCCTCAAAGGCCGGGGACCCAGAGCGCTTGGAGACAGGAGCTTGGGGCATAGCTGGTGAGTCCGTGCCAAGTGCCATGGACGGTGGGACACTGCAGGCCTGTCCTGGGTCACCGTGGGCATTTCTGGACTCTGAGAGGTAGTGCCCACCCTCTCCCATTCCTCCCAGGCCAAGGGTGCGTGCAGTGCACTAGAGCCCCACTGTGGATGTGACCGTCTAAGGACCAGCATGCTTTCAGGTGCACGTAGATCATAGGTCCACTCACGTGCTGAACACCCTTAACCGTAAATGTCCACATTGAATGAAACTATGGTCACGTTTATTTGCTCTTTGTAGCAGAGACTCTGGCTTGGCTAAACCTTGATTTCTTCATCTGTAAAATGAAGGTAATAGTTGTACTTACTTTGTAAAGTTCTTTCAAGGTTGAAATGAATTAATTCTAGCAGTTAGTAAGCATTTCAGTGCTGTTGTGTGCTGTTGAGTCGGTTTCAACTCAGAGCATCCCTGTATAGGGTTTCTAAGGAGCAGCTGTTTGATTTGAACCACCAGCGTCATGGTTAGCAGTCCACTGCTTACCCTATAACATCACATCAGTTAGCTGTTACCATGTTTTTTATTATTGTAATTATTGAAGTGTGAAACCTAGTGTCTTACACATGCTTATTATCCAGAATATATTGAATCAAGTAAAGATCCATTATCTCTCAGATGCGGGCTATGTAAAAGGAATAACCAACTGTTTTCTAACCAGGGTTTGCAGCTCCTCAAAGGTCTAGAAACTTAGTGAGCTCATAGGCTAAGTAGTCCCCTTTAATTCTTTAGGGATACATCTCATTTGCCAGAAACGGAATTGTCCTCCTATAAGCAGCCCACAAAACAAGAATAATCTCCCAGTTGTAGCAAAACCCAATCTGGTGAAAGCCCCTAAGATTCTGGGATGTGTGACGCTGGCGACTATGGGGATTTAGAGTACCCCAGCTCGTGTCTTAGAGAAGTGATCTAGTGCTGGATTCTTCCCGCTGGGGACAGACTGACTCCAGCTCAGACACCAGCGAGAGAAGCCAGAAGGCAGCTGCCATGGGCTGGCATTCCTCACGCGAGCGGAGCCCAGAGCCTCTCAGATGGTTCTGGCTTCCCTGCACCTCGTTTATTGCTCTTGCCACGTGAACTATTTATAAAGCGTTTCCTTTTCACATGAAGAAACACATTTCTAAAATGCCCCCAATACCCACAAAGAGGCAGCAGGGTGAGTATTAACGGGCTTTTTCAAACAACGATTCCTTCAGTAAAACAGGGCTGGTCACCACCACCTGGGAGCGACTGTACTTCTTCACCCAAGGCGGAAACCTCATGTGTCAGCCCAGGGGTGCCGTGGCCGGAGGCTTGATCCAGGATCTGGACAACTGCTCAGTGATGGCAGTGGACTGTGAAGACCGCCGATACTGCTTCCAGATCACCACCCCAAATGGAAAATCGTATGCCTGACAAGTTGTAATGGGGGGAATCAGGGTAGTGAGTCTCCTAGCTCGTTCCTGTGTGCCAGCCTGGCATGGCAGAGAGGCTGCAGTCCCGATACTGTTGGCCTTTCAGGAACGTGCTTGGTGTTGTCTGTAAACAAGCCCTCATGATCCATATGGGATCCATTGTGCCTTATTTAAGAACCTCCATGAGGATTTGTGGCTTTAGAGGAGAGATGACCTACGTGCATAACATGGTGTTAGAGATGGCTGCTTGCCTACAGAGGGGCTCAGAGAGAAAAGGCTGTGTCTCCCCCTAGCCTGTCCCAAACATGCCTTGTGTCCCTCTGGTGATGGGCCTCGTGGGCTGCTAGAGCACAGAATGAGACGAGGAAACACAGCGGCAGCTTGTGCCCACACACCCCATGTCTCGTGCCCAGAAGAGGTCCTGCTTTTAAAGTGGCGGGCCTTACAGTTGTTGACGATGGATCCCATCCCAGCGGCCTCCCTGTCACCAGGCGCAGTGGCTGTCACACTGCAGCCCAAGGGGTCCATCTGAGGGAGAGGGACAGCCCGGCCCGGTTAGAGTACTCGGCTTGTCTGCTGTGTCTGCTGGCTTCTCAATAAGCCTGTGTTTGAACAGTTGGTGTTTCAGTGTGGAGAGGGGGTGCGGTGTGGGTAATGCTGGATGCCACCTCCCTCAGCGATGGGAGATGACCTTGGACCCTAGCCAGGTCCCAGGCAGCTACTGCACTCTCCCAGGCACATTACAGAGGGATGAGCTGTGTCCCCACCTCCCATGGGTGAGAGGAGGAGCAACAGCTAGCAGATGTGGAATCCTTGGAAGTGGGAAAGCCCCACACAGATGGGGCAGTGTTGTTTTCATCCCATCCCTTGGCTTGCCACAGGCAGATTTTCCAGTTCTAGGAGTGTGGAGCCACTTAATGGTCCTTCTTTGGTGTGGCTGGGAGGGGTGACTGGGCTAGGGTCCCAGCTGCTTTGGGTGAGCTCATTGGAGTCAGCAAGGGTTGGTGGGCCTCACTGAAGATCAGACTGGGCAGATCTGGGAGCCCAGCCTTGTTGGGTTCTTGATGAGAAAGCTGAGGCCAGCATTATGAAGCATTTTTCCAAGTGTGTGAGGTGAACCAGGGGCACAGTCAGACTGGGAGCCCATTTTCCTCCCTTCCCACCCTGCTGCCTCCTTCAGTCAGTCCCCAGCCCTGGAAGCACTTTTACTGTGTTGCATTTTCTTTCAGGGGAATAATCCTGCAGGCAGAGAGCAGAAAGGAAAATGAAGAGGTAAGGACTGTGTGTGTGTGACTTGTGTCCTGGCTCAGTGGGCGAGTCTGGGAGTCAGTGTGTTTTTCTGTCCCCACAGTGGATCTGTGCCATCAACAACATCTCTAGACAGATCTACCTGACTGACAACCCAGAGGTAAAGGCCACTGACTGTGTCGCAGCCCCCTCCCGGCCTGAAAGGGGAGTGTCCACCCCCTGAGTGCGTCCTTCCTCTGACTTTTCAGGCCGTTGCCATCAAGCTGAATCAGACGGCGCTGGAAGCAGTGACTCCCATCACAAGCTTCGGGAAAAAACAAGAAAACTCGTCCCCTAGGTAATGGGACAGCCGGCTGCTGGGAATGGGACAAGAGTTGTAACTGGCTTGTCACACACCATCCCCAGGGGGGTGGGGGCAGGACAGGGGCCTGGCCATGATCACAGGCAAGTGAGTGTCAGAGCCAGGCCTCCAGCCTGCCCAGCTTCCGTATCCAAGGCCGTTCCCAGCAGGCAGTGCTGTGTAGAGGGGCCGCTAGTCAGCTCTCCCCACCACCTCAGCTTCACAGGTTGGGTAGAAACAGCCCCTTCTAGGTGCCCATGTCCTTATCTGCAACACATGCTGATTGATTTCATGTTGTTGTTGAGAGCCGTAGAGTCGGTTCCGACTCAATGCAACCTTGAATAGGGTTTCTGAGGAGTGGCTGGTAAGCTTGAACCACCAATCTTGTGGTTCAAACTGACTTTGTAGTCCAGCGCATTAACCCACAGTGCCACACCAGGACTCCATAGCTGTGTTTCTATGTTACATTTCCACGTATTTTTTTTACATTTCTACATCTTTCATGACTTCTTTTAAATAGCCATGCAAAATCCTGGTGTGGCGCTGTACAATAAGCACTGGACTACAAGGTCATTTGAAATCACCAGCCGCTCCTTGAAAACCACTCTTTGGAACCAACTTGAGGGCACTTTAACAACAACGACGGTCCCATGGTTTATTTTTACTATTTAATTGACTATTTGAACTGCCTCCTCTTTATTTACTGTTCTTGTCTGTCCTTTCGTGAATATTTTCTTGTAGCTTTTCTCTTGTTTTGAATCTTACTGGAGGATATATTTGGGTAGTCCACGTTTTGTCTTGGTGGCATTTTCCATTTGTGTGACTAGTAGAGGACTTTATTGTGTATGGTGTTAGTGAAAAGTACATTAGAATGATGACTACCTTTAGTGCCTGTTACCAAGGGAACCGTAGGAAGAACCCCACTGAACGTTTCACGGCTTCAGAAGGCTCTTCAGTAACTTCCCTTGGACTGGTTGCCTTGGAGTCAGGAGCCGGTGTTCAGACCCTCACACTGAGTCACATGAAGAGGGATAGGCCAGAAAACCACTTGAGCTCAAGTTAGCGACATGGGTGACTTCCTTATGCAGTGGAGCAGAACTGGAAGTTTTGAGGACAGAGGTGACCTGCTGAGAACCAGGTGTAAGATTCTTGGTAGCACCAGATAGAAAAGACTAGAGGCCTCAGGGGTGGAGGACAGGCTGGAAGAAACCCCCAACCCCCTCAGAATGTTTCTGGAGAACCTGAACAAAGGTCCTAGAGATGGGAAGGAGGCAACAAGTCTTAAGAACCATTCCAGCGATAGACTATGAGCGTTTACCAGTTGACACAGAGTGTGCTTACAGAGTTCAGCTCCTAAGGAAGCTACCAGCATGTATGGTTAGGTGCCGCTGACTTGCCTCCGATTCACAGCGACCTTGTGCCCAACAGAATGGAGCATGGCCCAGTTCAGCACCATCCTCAGCTTGAGCCCGATGCTGATGCCACAGTCTTGTTGAGGCCTTGCTCTTATTTGCTGGCCTTACCAGTGAGGCCTGCTGTGACGCTGTAGGGTCGTGACGTTGATGAAGAACATTAAATATACCATGAACTTCCGGAAGAATAAGGAGCCCTGGCAGCATACTGGGTTCTGCACTGGGCTACTGGCCATTCTGAAGTCCTGGTGTGGCAATATGGGTTAATGCGCCTGACTTCAAGGTCAGTGGTTCAAACTCACCAGCCACTCCTTAGAAACTCTATACAGGGTCACTATGAGTCGGAACCAACTCAACAGCACTTAACAACAACACTAACCAAGGTCAACAGTTCAAGCCCACCAGCCAGAAACCCTATACAGAATCGCAATGAGCCGGGACCAACTCAACAGCACACAACTACTTTATCAAGCATGCTGTCTTTCTCCAGGCACTGAGCCCTCTAGATAATATGTTCAGCGTATGTGAGATGAAGAAGTTTCCCCATCTCTGAGGACCAATCCAGCTTTACTTCTTCAAAACAGATTTGTTTACTCTTCAGTTTGTTGTTGTTGTATGCTGTCGAGTGGGTTCTGACTCAAAATGACCCTGTATAGGGTTTCTGAGGCTGGAAATCTTTGTTGTTGTTATGTGCCATCGAGTTGGTTCCGACCCATAGTGACCCTGTACAGGGTTTCCGAGGCTGGAAATCTTTACGGGAGCAGAAAGCCTCATCTTTCTCCCACAGCGCATCTGGTAGTTTCGAGCTGCCTACCTTGCGGTTAGTAGCCCAGCACATAACCCATTATGGTTCCAAGTGTCCTGCTCGTCTAGGGAGTCCATGGTCTATTTAATACTGTTCTCCAACATCATAATTCATAGCCATTGATTCTTCCATCTTCCTCCCTCATTGCCTAATTTTAACACACATATGAGGCAGTTGAAGATGCCATGGCTTGCGTCGAATGGCTAAGCTCCATACAGATGGATATAAAGCCTCTGAGTAGTTTGTAAAGCTTCAGTCACGTTCCATGGGCAAGGTGGTAAGCACACTGGATTTGGAATCAGAAGACCTAGTGCGCGTCCGTCCTGCCTTGAACGTGGCCTAAGTAAGTCATCATCTGACTGAGCCTTTGTTTCCTCAACTCTGAAATATGAACATAAGAGATCGGGTGGCCCCAAAGCCCCTGGCCCCTTTTGGCTGTAAGCCGGCATCTTTCTAGGGAACTGGGTAACTGTTTAATATCAGTAATCCAGAGGTGGACTGGCTTTTTTTAAAAAAATAAAACAGTTTACAGCTCAGCTTTAATTATAGAGAACTATTCAGTAACCGATTTTTCTCCCTCGTTCTAGGATACATTAGTCACATTCTATAGAAAAGGACCCACAGAAAAGACACAGAAGTCTGTCTGGGGGAAATTTTTTTTTTTTACTCTAGCCAACCTGCTGAATTTACCCTGGAGATTGGAAGGCTGACAGATGTGTCTGCCACATGGCCCCAAAGCTCTCTCTCTCTCTCTCTCTCTCTCTCTCTCTCTCTCTGTGTGTGTGTGTGTGTGTGTGTAGGGAGTTTAGTATCTGTCTTAGGGTCAACTTGTTACGAATAGAGAAATGTTTTGTTGACAGTAAGGGGTCTTGGGAACAAACTGTCATTTAATAAGCAAATAGTTAATGTGTCAAGTAATAAGAACTTAGCTGTAGCCCCTGCCCTCAGAAAAAACTGTCTCCCAGGGAGAAGTTACAAACAGAAAAGTACCAGATCATGTGGTCAGCAGGGACACTGCGGATCTCTGAGCACTCTGGACAGCAGGGAGATGGGCGTTCTTAACCGAGGAGCTGAGTAGCTGAGTAACGTTTACAAGACTTTATTGAATGGATTGAGGGATTAATTGAAATCACCTCCCTTAAATTTTTACTTGTAAAAGTCATATCAGCATAGAGAATATAGACGCTTCATTGAAAAGCAGAAGGTTACGAAGGATTTCTTGTATTCATTTTTCTATTTTACAATCTAGTCAAAACCTGAAAAACTCAGAGATGGAAAATGACCAGACTGTGCCCAAAGTAACAACCAGTATGCCTGAAGCCGAACAGCTGATTGCCCCTGGGACACCTATTCAGTTCGATATTGTACTTCCTGCTACAGAATTCCTGGATCAGAACCGAGGGAGCAGGTAGGGGCTGAGGGAGGTGACCTCTGGGAAAGGGGAGAACAAATGTGAGGGCTCTCTCTTTTTAAGTTTTTTTTTTTTTTTTTGTGAATTGGGGGAAGGCTGACAGCAAACATGTCTCCCAGCAGTTTGCAGACATTTTGTTTCATCCCATTGAGTACATTCCCCTTGGTGTAATATCACCCACTGTCCCACATCCTCCCTGTGGCTCCTGTTTCAGTTCCTCCTCCTCTCCTGACCCTTCTGAACTTGGCCCTTGGGTAACTGCTGCACTTTAGATCTCACATGGCAGCGGATGGTTCTAAGGCATTTGTCTCCCGACTGTTACTGTTCACTTCATAGCCCTGTCTGCTGTTGGGCTGAAAATGGGGCCATAGTCTCAGGGTTTTCACCACAAACTTGATGTGTCTTGAAAATAAAATCAAGTGGCTCTTCTTAAGAATACTGCCGTTGTGACAGACACCTCAAGTGTTAGCTGTCACTTTCAGCGTCATGATGGTCTGACTCTGGCTGTTCTCTTAGGCGGATCAACCCTTTTGGTGAAACGGAGGATGACACATTTCCAGAAGCAGAAGGTGAGGAAGGGGCTGTTAAGGTACTTATTCTTTCCTCTGCGTAGAAGACCAGGGCCACTGAGCCAGGATGTGAAATCCTGTTCTAGGGTCATGATTGGAAACAAGAATGAAACCATGACCCACAGCTTTGTTGTTCTCACTGAAAACTCCTTCAGACACATTCAGTGAAGGCAGGCTGTGTTTAGAAACTGAGGGGAAGCAAGAGAATTTTCTACTACTGCCTCACCATCAGTCATGTGACTAGTGTCTGCATGGAAGTGTCAATTCAAAGAGGATGAAATGGCACATTAAGATGCGGTCTTGGTGAAATGCAATCAGTTGTTTCATTTAGAGAAACGAGCACAAATGATAGCTCATTCTTGAATTTGAAGAGGGCATGAAAGTGATATTAAGTTGTTCAAGTTCAGAACTTGCTGTATGACTTACATTCATATAACGTATATAAGAACCTCCAGACGGTTTCTGAGAGTCACTAGAAGTGCTGGGAAGATTTCAGCTTCCCCACAGGAGCCCAAGGACATCATTAGAAGGAAGCTCCACTTGTCGTTTGAATTGAAAAGACTTGAGAACAGTCACTATTGCCATTCCTTACAGCTTTGGGGGGAAAAAGTTGTGCGATGTTACTAGGCTTGCCTCTGATCAGGTTTGCTCTACCTGTATGAAGCTGGCTTTCAGATCATCCAAACGGATTAGGAGAGAGCAGTGGCTCCATACGATAAGCACTAGACTGTGGGAGAAAGAGAGAGCTTTCTGCTTCCTCCAACATTTAAAGCCTCAAACCCTATACAGGGTCGCTATGAGCCGGAACCAATTTGTCAGCACTTAAACACAAAGCTAACAAGAGGATCAGCAGTATTGAAGATCCTGTCAACAGTCCACACAAGGCCCTGGGTAGTAGGGAAGTGCCCATTCAGAGCCACACCTAAGTGAAGTCAGGCTTCTCAGGTTGCAGGGCTGCTGCTCAGCTGTGTCAGTGTATGTGTGGTTCATCAGAATCAAATAAGCAGATTACGTTCGCTGGAGCTCTGTATTACTGTATGAAATCTCATCACTGCCCTTCTGTAATAACATGTGTAAATTGAGTGCAGTTAACTGCAGGTTTGATTTCTGCAAATATTTCCCTTAAAGAGGACTTTATAGGTGGGCCAAAGGAATGCTGCTTCTGTTGTCTAGTGGAAAGGGCCTTCTTTTCAGAGCAAGGATAAGACACGTTTACGGTCACTTACGCAGTCACCTGGCGTTAGTGCCAGCAGGCTGCTCAGCTGAGGAAGAGCGGTAGTCCTACTCCGATGAAGTAGTTCCAAACACACAGGCCGTGGACAGTCAGTAGAAGGTTCAGAGTTTGGGCAGAACGTCCTTCACAGAAAGCAAGTTAACCAAGGAGCTTGTCTGTTCTCAGACCAGCACATCCGGCACCGGGACACAGATCAACAGCAGGCAGGAAGTCAGTGTGGTCCTAAGCAGAAATTGCTCTCTTGCAGATTCTCTTTTGCAGCAGATGTTCATAGTTCGGTTTTTGGGATCCATGGCAGTTCAAACAGACAGCACCGCTGAAGTGATTTATGAGGCGATGAGACAAGTGCTGGCTGCTCGCGCCATTCATAACATCTTCCGCATGACAGAGTCTCATCTGATGGTCACCAGTCAAACTCTGAGGTACATTCCCTTTCCTCTTCAGACCTCCTTCCAGCTTCCTCTGATCCCCTGCTAAGGCACATTCGGGGCGCCCCGCTGAAGTACTCTTGCTCGGTGGTTTTATAGACTGTACCAGATACAAGGCGCCCCCTCCCGGTGAGGACGGTGTCTGCAGGACTGCAGTGGTACCTGTGTGGGCTGCTGCTCTGGGATGCCGCTGCGCGTAAAAATCGTTTGTTGTTGTGTTAACTTCTGAGACTACTGTCTATAAAGATGAATCACAATGAAACAGACCAGGAGCCTGCCTAAAAAGACTCAGCCAGCACACGGAAAATCGGATTGTTTCTGGGGAGGGTCAGAATAAAGAAGGCAAGCAATGCTTACGATGTGACTCAGGCTTCCAGGTCCTAAGATCCATCTGACAGCAAATGACCCTCAGCTAGTGGCTGTCTAGTGACAGCTAAGAGCCTGGCTGTGAGGCTGCACAACACTCTAGCCACTGGGAGCAGAGGTGCTGGGCTGACCTGGCTGCGTCTGCATGGAAAGTACACACCAGAACCCCAAGACTGTTCGTGTAAAAAAGAATGTGATTTTTAATATTAATTACATGTTGAACGGGTAGTACTTCAGATGTAATTACATTTTTTTATTGTTTTTTTTTTAATGTGACTGCTGGCTGGTTGTGTGCTGACGAGTGGGTTCTGATTCACAGTGATGACAGACGGTGCCTAGGGTTTCCGAGGTCGTCAGTGTTTACGGGAGCAGAAAGCCTCATCTTCCTCCCGTGGAGCACCAGCTGAACTTCAACTGCTGAGCTTGCCTTAGCAGCCCAGGCTTAAGGCACTGAGCCACCAGGGCTCCTACAAAGATGTAAAGGATGCCTGAGGGTCACACTGTATTTCTGTAGCCAGTAGGGTTTTAGAGCCAGAAGGTTTATTCTGTGCTTTGGCATTTGTTTACTGTATAGCCTTAGGCAAGCTATTTACCTTCTGGGCTGGCCTGTTTCTTCAGCTATAAAATGTAAATAACCGTGCCTACGCCCCACAAAGTTGTCCTGAGGAATGCATGAGCTAGGTATGTGTGGCTGGCACATGGAAGCTGCTCAGTTAATGGTAGCTTCAAAAGAGCTAATTTAGCAAAAAAACAGAATATGTTTTCTTCCATTCATTAAATCAGCCCTTCTCATTTGTTATAAACACTATCCTACTCAGAATTATGTTCTTAGGAATAAAATCTTACATTTTCTCACAGCCTTTCTCCTAGTATGTCCTGGGCAGTTAACAGGCATTAGCTCACTGTTTTTATATAAATCTAAATGATTAGGAATCTTTCACCAAAAAGATCAAAGTGAAAATTATAGTGCATCAAAGCACTTATCAAAAAAGCAAAATGACAACGTACTGAATGGAAGAAAGTTGTGAGTAACTGAAAGGACCTGCTGTTCAGAGAATATGAAAAAAAAAAAAAAAAACACTGATACTCAACAAAAAGACAGCCCAATTAAAAATGGGCAAAGGACTTCAACTTTATTTCTCAGGGAAGATGGACCAGTGGCCAGTATGCACATGGGAAAATGCTCAGCATCATTGGTCAGTGAAGGCACCATCAGGAGAATTGTGCCCCCTCGGGGTTTTCTGGTAGATCACCAGGCCTTTCGTCTCAGGTACCTCTGAAGAGACTCCAACGTCCACCCTTTAAGTTAACAGCGAATCGTGTTAACCCAGGGGCTTCCATTTCAGTAGGGAAATTAAAATCAAAACCACACATACATACCACTTCACATCCACTAGGATGATGGACAGGAAAGTGAAAAACAGAAACTAACAGGTGTTAGTTGGTGAGAATGTGGAGACATTGCAGTCTCTATCCACTGCTGGTTGGAACGCAAAACGGTGCAGCTGCTGGGAAAACAGTTTGGTGGTTCCTCAAAATGTTAACCATAGAATTACCATATGGACTGCTATGTCAGAAAGATAGAAAACCAGTATTCAAATAAAAACCGGTACACAAATGTGCACCACAGCACTAGTTATAAACGAGGGACACAGCCCTGTGTCCGTCCACAAATGAAAGGAGAAGCAAATGTCCAGTGGGATGTTATTCAGTCATAGAAGGGACAAAGTACTGACTGGTTCGTGCCGCATTATGGATGAGCCTTGAAAGACGACGTTAAGTCCAAGAAGCCAGACATGCTGGATGATTCTGTTTATATGAAATGCCCAGATTAGGCGATCCCTGGCAGTTTCATGCTTGCCAGGGATGGGGGAGAGAGAATGAGGTTAGCAGTTTAAGGGGCACGGGGCAGGGCTTGCTTTTGTAGTGGTAAAAATGTTTTGGAAATGTGTGATGGTTGTCCAAACCGAGAATGTACCGCATCTCAGTAACAGAATATTGCTTGTTTTACCACGACACACATCCATAGTGGATGGAGTTCATAGATTTTGAGACTATTACATGGTCGTGCAAAACCAGATGTTAGAGACAAATCTAGGGTGATGTGAATTTGATAGCAAACTTACAAGTTACTCAGAAAGTATGCTGTGTATGTTTTTAAGTTTTCCTTTTTAGAGAAATGTTACAAAATACCTAAGAAAGTTATCCCAGCCTGTGAAGAAAGATTTCCTAATGTACACTTTAAAAAAGGATTAAGTTCATGCCCATTTAGCCATACAGGAATTAAAGTATTGTTTGAACTGCTTTATATTTTGCGTAAAATGCCAGATATATTTTCTCATTAACTGATGACCTCCACTTCTCCCAGTTTTACAGATAAAGCAGTCACGAGAGGTCAGGGAGACTTGCTCCATACATACTCATGCAATGAGTAGCCAGGTTATAATTCAAATGTAAAGCTTCTAATGATAAATCCCATTCTTTAAAAAGCACAGCTGCATAAATTTCAGGCTGTAACTATATATATATTCTAACAGCTTGATTGAGTTATAATCCACATACCATAGTCATCCATTTAAAATGTACAATTAAGTGCCGTTGAGGTTCTGATGCATAGCAACCCTATATAGGGTTTCCGAGGAGCAGCTGGTGAACTTGAACTGCCAACTTTGCGGTCCAGTGCATTAACCTACAGCGCCACACCAGGCCTCCCTAATATGCTGCCCACAAAATTGTGCAACCATCACCACAGTGAGCCTTAGGGCATTTTTGTCACCCAAAGAGAACCCATTAGCACCCATTAGCAGTCCTCTTCCCCCTCAACTCTCCCAGCCCTGGACAATGATGAGTATTTCATACATTTACAAAGAGAATAGATTCTTTGCTTTCTCTCATAAAAATCAGCAACTTAATAGGTTGGCTATAGTGACCCCAGTAGAAATTTATATCTACACTCGTGTATCTACGATAGCAATAAACTCTTGAACCACAGTTTATTTCTCCAGGTATAGCAACCTGATCATTAAATGATTCTAAAACTGTTCAAGAGTATGTCTGAAAACGCTTACCCACCTACACAAAACGGCTAACCAAGTTTTGTGAAAATCCCCTCATTATTCTCACCCCTCCCAATATTTAAAAAAATAAATGGCTAGATTTAGAAGTTGGTCCAGCACAGCCGAGGAAAGAATCCACATGACGCCCCTCCATGTTGAGAATCCCTGTGTCAACAGACCCCGTACTGATGGGTGCTTCCCTGTGTGCACCCATCCACTGACAGTGCCCGTACTGATGGGTGTACCCATCCACTGACAGTGCCCCACGTCACTGCACAGCTTCCCAGACAAGAGCCCTGGCCCTGGCCCAGCTCCCAGTGGGTCCCCACTGAGCTGCCTGCCTCCCTCTCAGCCAGGCCCCTCTCTTCCCATGTTGGAGTATTTGTGCAATTTCATTCAGAATTCCCACAGACTCTTCTAAGAATCAGTTTGTCCAGCATTTGTGACATAACAAATTCCTTAATTTCAGGTTGATAGATCCTCAGACTCAAGTAACAAGGGCCAACGTAAGTATACTCACCCACATTCCTATCACTGATTACTTCTTAGTTCACCACTGTGTCCACTTTAAACACCAAGCAGGAACTTAATAACTATTGGCCTATTTAAGTGCTTGTCCCTTGTAGTATACTTTTGGGGGGGGTGACTTTTTCCATAGAGAATGTAAAACAGTCCTTAATGTTACGTAACTCTACTTGTAAGATCTTCAACCTGTCTCTGCTGTTCCCTCCCTAGTTTGAGCTTACCAGTGTCACACAGTTTGCTGCTCATCAAGAGAACAAGAGACTGGTTGGCTTTGTCATCCGCATTCCTGAGTCCACAGGAGAAGAATCTCTGAGCACTTACATCTTTGAAAGTAACTCAGAAGGCGAAAAGGTCCGGCTGCTTGTTCACTGTAAAATGCCAGAGGGTTTCATTCCCAGAAGGTCACTTCCCCGTTCTCAGGTCCCCACCCAGGAGTCCAGGCACTGTGTCCTTGGAAGGCCCTAGCAGTCTCTGCATGGCACACACAGTAAAGCACTTGACTGCTAGCCACACAGTCAGTGGTTCAAGCCCAGCCATCCGCAACTCAGGAGACAGGCCTGGTGACCTGCTTCCGAGTGGTCACGGCTTGGAAAGGCCTGGGGAGCAGTTCTGCCCTGCACACAGGGGCGCCATGAGTCAGCCTCACAACAAGGAAACTGACTGGGTTAAAACTATTCCCTCAGAAAAATACTTATCACCCACAATGGAGAGTATGTGGAAGAAATTATGGCAAAATAAAATTGTTCAAGGATAGCAGGAAAGAGTAAAAGCAGCCCCCACCCCCCCACAGAGTTCTTTAAAAAAAAAAAAAAAAGAAGGCAAAGCACAGAGGGACGGACTGCTCTGAGCGCAGGCCAAGGCAGCCCCATCGGAGGGCGTCTGAGCAGCTCCTTGGTGTAAAGATCTGGGTGGCTACGTTTACTGTTTATAATTCAACAAAAGGAATCAGTTCTTCCCAGGAGTATTTGCCCTCCATGGCGAACCTGAACATGCAGTGGGCTAAGAATAACTCAAAAAGCAAATGAAATACTCTCATGAATTTCAGACTCTCCCATAGCCTGGGTGTCCACATACTGGAGCACTGTTTATATGGTACATGGTCATCAGGCTGCCGGCATTACTGAGCCATGTGCCTTGTTTCCATGTTGACATGAGCAGACAGTGACCTCACTGAATACCAATAATCACATTTTGTTTTTTTCTAAAATCTTTACCCTTTTGTACCCTTTTCAAACATTTTACTTTTCTTGTCTTTTGCAGATATGTTATGCTATTAATTTGGGAAAAGAAATTATTGAGGTTCAGAAGGTAAGGTGTATTTTAATGCTGGTTTAACAACTATTCACAAAAGACATCTGTACACAAACTAAGAGTTCTCTGCAGAGGAAAGGTGTTGCTCATAGGCAGTGTGGCCAGGTCAGGGTTCCTTTTGAGTGTTCTAACCGACAGGCATTCTGACCAGCTGCTTCCACAGTGGAGTCTGAATAAAGATCGCGGCTGCAGCTCCTGCTTGCTTTTAACCCAGCTTTTTGCTTGCATGTTAGTTGGCTAGCTGCTTCTTTCTTTCAAATTATGATGGGACACATATAAGTACCTCCACGTGCTCCTCAGAGGCCCAGTAGTTGACAGACGTTGCCTGGGAACGTATTAGACATAAAGAGGCTCCAATCTCTGTCTATCAGCATACAATCCTCCTTGGATCCAGCCAGCTGTGGAGTGTTTACTTGGTATAAAAAACCCCGGAAAGGTCACATGAACAAGACAGACTTGCTGGCACTCCCCAAGCCTTCTAGTTCAGCTCTGTCCTGTACTCCCCTCCTCAGTGGTGGAAATCTGGAGCATCACTAGCTCATGCGCAGGCTGAAACGGGGCTGGTGACTGAGGAGCTGAACGTTTTCAGTATCATTTTATTGAAATTTACCCATCACCATGACCCTAGGGGCTACCATTTGAGACAGTGTAGTTCTCGTTGATTGGGAGGAGGGCAGAAAGACCAAGGACCAGTGTGAAAGTAAGAAACATGTGTGACTTAGGCAGGTTAGAATTCAGTGTAGAAATCAGGAGTTGGCAAACTTGTTCCGTGAAGGGCTGGAGAGGAAGCTTTTCAGCTTCCCAGGCCACGCCATCTTTGGTGGAACTACTCATATTGTAACATGAACACAGCCATAGACAATATGTAAATGAATGGACACAGCTGTATTACAAGAAAACTTTATTTACAAAACCAAGTGGTGAGTCAATACTTGGTATAGATGAAAAGAAAGTGAGGTTTGGTGAGGCAGTTCCTGTCAGGACTCTCGGGGAAGATGATTATGATTTGATGTGTCGATACTGTGCCTGAAAACATGGTCTAGATTCTAGATAAAGTAATTCACCTGAATTTTTTCAAAGGAGCCCCACCTGAAGTCACACAGGTGAGAGGACGCAGGCTAGATTACGTAAGCTACGGAAAGCCAAACCAAAGGGGTTTTAAGTACATCTTAAGCCTTGTCTTTTTTCCTTCTTTACACTCTCCTAACCTCAGGACCCAGAAGCACTGGCTCAGTTAATGCTGTCCACGCCACTAACCAATGATGGGAAATTTGTTCTGTTAAATGATCAACCAGATGACAATAATGGATGTCCGAGTGAACATAGAGGCGCAGAATCTGAAGCGTAACTCACCTCGCTAAGGGTTTTCAACTTCTCTGACATGCAGGCACACTAAGCTGGGCTCCAAATGCTGACATTCCGTATGTGGAACGGACTCTCCGAGCTTGAGACTTGGGAGGGAAACAGTAAGAAATGCTTGACAGCACATTTCTACCCATCCACAAATGTGGTTTTAGGTGCTTTGTGGTAAGTCCTTTTCTTAGACTACGTTGTTCTGCACTCAGAAAGTCTTGAAAATAGGCATTGTTCACTTTATTTGAATGTCATCTCCTTTCAGTTTCTAATATCCTTTTTTTTTTAAATGACAAAAGCCTAGATTTACAATTTGATAAACACTAAATATTTCCTATTAATATAATCTATTTTTGTATTTTACTTAATGAGCTTAAAGTGCCTGTCATTCTGAAAACCGTATTTATACACCAGCTCGTCTCCTAATTGGCCCAACTAGCATTCATTAGTGTGGTTAGGGGAGAAGAGCTGCTCTGAGGCCCGAGCACTAGCAGAAACACAGGTGTCCCTGAAGAACCGTTGGAACGCCGAGCGATAAGTAGGTGTGCTGATGAGTCACACCTGACAGGGTTCACGTCCCACTGGAACCTGAAGATACAGTCTAAGGGCCAGTCAGACACGACTGTTGTCAGTGGTGGTTCACTGTGGACTCGAGTAGCTCTACCACTTCCTGTTTCTTCTGAGCCAGACCCACCTCATGGAAGGGGCCAATTCATTTTAATGCTCACTGGAAGCACAGCGGGTCATGGGGCTTGGCATAGACCCTCTGGTTCTTCGCCACCCAGCCCACCCGAGTTATGCCACGCCATCCCCTCCTACCTGTGAAGTTATGCAGCTAAGAATAAAGATTTTGAATTGGTACATGTATTTAATTGTAACCATGTTCAGCAAAATATCATTGTCTTTGTAGTACATTAACCTAGCAATATGTGACAGCAATAAACACTTATTCTGTTCCTTTTGCTTTCTGTGGTGGTTGTTTTTTTTAAACATCGTAGGAAGAAAACTATAGCAGCTTCTGTAGCTTTAGCAGTTAATCTCCAAAAACAAAACAAAGACAAAATTAAGTCACAAGGATAGCACAGCAGAGAGGGATGTACTACTACCCAATACCACTAATTTAACATGAGTAGAGTAACATCCAATTGCCTATCTTTTCCCAAGGTGTTCCTTCTCTCCTTTAGAAATGGAGAAATTTCACAATGTAAGAAATTACATTCATGTTATGGGGTCCTGCCTACAATGTACACACCACCCGAGGCTCAGTGAGTGAGCTGGTCTAAGCCGGTGTGACAGGCCGTAACATTATTAGGTCAGTGTTGACTCTAAGCTACCCTACAGGACAGAGGGGACCTGTCCCACAGGGGTGCTAGGCTATCATCTTTATGGGAGCAGCTTGTCACAGAGACACTGGAGGATTTGAACCACCAACCTTTTGATTAGCCTTACACATTCATATGCCGTAGCTGTAATAAGTCAACTGGTTCTCTGACAGATGGAAGCCACCACTGTCCCCTGAAAACACACAGCACCCCCTATACCCCACTTAGAATTGATCAGAGTGGAGTATAGAATCTGTTTCTGAACAATTATTAGGTTGGAAGCTAAAATCAACTTTCTAAAAAGCACCATTAAGACTGTGGGGCTTCCAATCTAGGAACAGAAAAGGTGGACAGCCAGTACATTAAAAGTTCACTGTTCCTCCAAAAATATTCAGACTGAAAAAGACAAAATGAACTGAGACATTGTCGGCACGCACTTGGGACTGACAACATATCAAGATCCATAATATACAGTTACTTCTGTAGCAGAAATACTACAAGGAGGAACAAAAGTCATGAAGAAAATACCAAGGGTCCCTAAACACACAAACAGGCACAATCTGGGAAATGCAATTAAAACCACAAAGTAACTCCATGCTGGGGGGTGGGGGTGGGGGGCACTGAATGGCACCTGCTGCCAGGAGGGCACTTAGGCAGTATGTGAACCACAGAGTGCACCTGCTGACGGCCAGGCAATTTCACTAGTAGGTGCAGGCCGGCCCTGGGGACACTCCTCACACACCCAGAAACACACAACCATGACGGCACAGCACTGCTCACAGGACCCCACATGCCATCAGCAGCACAGATGACAGTGCTGTGTGTTCACATACAGACCACTGCCGCCTGCCATCAAGCCAGTTCTGACTCAGTGACCCTGTAGAGGCTTTCAGGGAGTCCTGGTGTGGCACTACAGGAAGGTTAGCAGTTCAAACCTCACCAGCCTCTCCTTGGAAACCCTATACAGGGTCACTATGAGTCAGAACTGACTCAATGACATGTGAAAATGTAGGGTTTCAGTGGCTGTAAATCTTTACAGATAAAGGAATACTATAGCATTAAAAATACATCAATTACAGCTATATGCATTAACAGGGATGAATTTTGCAAATATGGAATGAAAAATTCATAAACACAGTTTAAGGTTCCATTTGCATTAAGTTAAAAGAACATGCAAAATGACAGTGTTCTGTGGCTAGACACACGGTCAGATACACAGGCCGAACGGGCATGGGGGAGAGTGTGGGAGAATGCCCACAAATACGTAAAGGTGTGGCAGAGGGTACATAGCTAATTTACCTTTGCTGAACACACCTATGGATGTGGTGGAGCATACAGGCGACAAAATGGTGACACCGTCTAGATATTACACAACACCTTGAGACAATGAGTTGCTGGCTTGGGGGTCAGGACCATAGTCTCTGAGGACACCATGGACAACTGGCATAACACAGTCCACAGAGAATGTTCCACATCCTGCTCTGGTGAACAGTGACTGGGATCATAAAAGCTCATGAATGACCATCTAAGGTACAACTATCGTTTTCCCCACATACAGAGGAAAGAAGAGGGGCAAAAATCAAAGATTGGAATCAAGTAGTCCAGTGAACTAATGGACCACGTGAACATCAGTCTCCATGACTGAGACCAGAACTAGACGGTGCCTGGCTGCCACTTCCAACTGCTCTGAAAGGGAAGGTCCTGGAAAGAGTGGGAGAAAATGTGGAACAAAGCTCAAAATTATAAACAATACGGCTCACTACTCAGAAAAAAGACACAAGAAACCCAAGACTATGGCCGTCGGCCACCCTTCAGGTCTCAAACAGATCTCACCTATTATGTCCAATTGTCAGCCAAGTGGGAGATAGATTGGGGGGAGGAGGGGGAGGGACCAACACTAGTACTATGCTCACTATGGAATGGTCAATCATTCAAGGTCAAAAGGTCAACATTTATCTAAGAATAAGGTTGAGACAAGATGGGAAGGAGGGTGGCCTGGCACTAGGAAGCCCAGGGAGGAAGCGGATGACTGTTGTTACGTGAGGAGACTGCAATCATGGAGATCAAACAAAGTGTAGGAGGTGTTCACTGTCAAACTGATGATCTCTGTAAACCTTCACTCAATTCAAACTCATGATTTTAGTTAGGTTTTTTTTTTAATAAAAAGCCTGCAAAACACACCATACTATGTAAGGAATGATTACAGACAGGCTGTAAACAAGAGAAAAGCAAAGGAATGTTCACCAGATCCCACCTAGCGGTTTCCTCCGAGATACAGAAGGAAGTAAGAGTGGGACAGGCTCACTCCTAACCTCCATGACGGTGTTCTGTGCTTACTCTTTAAACAGCATATGCACCTTACGTACTCTTGCATGTATTGTATTTCTCAAAATACTTTCTAAATTAAGAAGGGATTTTCTCTCAAATTGCTATAGTGTGTTTAGATGCATATTCAAGCACTCTGAAAATCTACGCAGTGCCATATAAGTGGAAAATGGGACCTTTTATTAGCCATCCTCCCAGTTTTCAGTGTCCACTGTTGTCCTTGGTTGTTCACCTCATACCGAGAGGCCACCTTCTGCACGGAAGAAAAGGACCTCCCTTGTGTCAGCCACACTTAAGGGAGCCATTTAAAAAGGAATCCTTATGAGACCCACTCAAAATCAAATAGAGACTTCCTTTTTCAAACATTCCCAACTAAACTAGTAAGAAGAGCTACCCTTCGATGCGTCTCTGTGTGAGAGCAATCTTACGACAGCCACTACTGGATCCTAAAAGTGCTTGACAAAATGAACTCGATCCTCAAACACTCTCAGCTACACACTTTCCTTAACCCGATTTCTTGCCTAAGGAAGCACAGAAAAGTGAAGTCTTCTGCTTGTAAGCAATCAGACCATCTGGGTGCAGAATGTGCTCCTACCTGCTGTGAGCTCTTACTGCCTCAAGAGGTCAAAGGCAAAGCACTCTCCAAGTGTTTCTCAATACATTGTCTGGTATTAGTAATACCAACTTAAAGTACATCTTTAATTTTGTATTACCTTTTGTGCATATGATACAAATATCAACTACTTCTTTATTAAGTTGGCATAGATAGGTGCCTTCCTGAAAATAGCGCTACTCAGGAGAACTCCAAAGTGTGTTGTACTGTGGTGGCTTGTGTATTGCTGTGATGCTGGAAGCTATACTCCTGGTGTGGACAGCTTTCAGTGGAGCTTCCAGACTAGAATGAGAGGCCTGGAGATCTACACCATGTTTGATCAAGTGGGGGGCCAGTCAAACTGGGGGAAACTCTTCATATGATGGATTGACACAAAGGCAACAAGGGACTCAAACATCATCATGAAGAGGGTGCGGCACCTGGCAACCTTTCATTCTGTTGTATGTGAGTCACAGCCAACATGATGGCATCAAGTTAACAATGAGCACAGGAGGGGCGTGTGAGCTAGGGGAGGAGGGGAGCCCCCAAGTTTCAGTGGCTTAGACGCCGCTGTAAATAGGTAACTTCACCGTCACTGTCTGATTTCACTGCAGCTCTACAGCTTTCCGCTTAACTCAGGATGCCTGTTCATTGGGAACCTTTGAGTTGTTCTTAACATTGAAAACTTTGGTTAAAATTTGTGGCATTAAAACTACCCTAAAAGAAGGAATACCATCAGTCTGAAACTCTTCACCAATATG